TGCAACGAGAACTGTATGAATGTCAGAGTTACAAGAATATTTTCAAAGTTGAACCTTACTGATCGCAGTCCCGCACACGTACTCATTCAACTACGAACGTGTCCTTACTGTCACTTCCTCATCATTTTGTTCTCTTAATGCTCCAACATGGCGAATGATATAGCTCTTTCAGGAAATGGACACCTTACTGACGACTACAATGGAGGCTGTGGTCAACTTTGACCAGGTAATCCGAGTGAAATTTCCTTTATTCCCAAAAATTGGCTGACGCCCTTCATCATTAAACCTCAGTTACATATTTCATTTCCGAAAGAGATACGCGAACGACAATTGTAACGAATCAGACTATTACGTTAATGTAGATAAAATATGGCTATTCATAGATGCATTCCTTAAACTTCATTTCTTCCTTTACTCCAATTGAAAACCCTCAGCTCATGCGACTCTATCAAGAAACATTCTTTATTAAGAAAGTTTTCAATTCTCCAACTTTCAAACATCTCTTAGGTGGAAGGCAGTATTTATAAAATCTCTTTTGGCCCTTCTAAAGCAGTTGCATGTTCCAGTCATTCCTTATACATCTTTTCAAATCTCAAGGCTACTTACCATAAACTCTCAACTTTAGGGAGCATTAGAGCAAAAACTTTTTTTCCTTGATGATGGCATAGTAATTGTTTGAGATATTGACCGTCCGATGTGATATTTGAAGGGTAACTTTTGTGTAAACCTCAAGACAAACTTTGATGTTATCGAAGGTATCAGCTGATGGAGTCACTATCCAACTCGATCATTACGATGTTTTGTGAGCTATTTTCTTCAAAAGTGGGCAACTGATAAAGGGACGTGTCACAAGAATTTATCTGCAACCTGAAAACGCCTTTCATTCTCTCATAGTCAAAATGATCAGTTCTGGCAAGTTCATGAAATACAATTCCAGCAATCCGTGCTATGGGCCCTAATTGTGGGTATCGTGATAGCGTTCCTGCTCGGAGCGGCTATGGGTGGCAACGATGTGGCGAACGCTTTTGGCACTTCGGTAGGCAGCGGTGTGCTGACAGTTATCAAGGCGTACATACTCGCATCCATTTTCGAGACTTTAGGGGCTGTCCTAGTGGGTAAGGATTATATCTTTTGCTTCCAACCTGATAAAGGCACTACGCTTTTTCTGTAGTTTCTACTACGTGTCGCACTAAAAGAATATTCAGTCGCTTACGTTCTTGACAGATACTTCTTCATCTAAGCTGAGCCAATGGCTTCATTTAGTACCTCAAATTAATAGTGACTATGAAGTATAAGAGAAATACACT